CCTTCAAATTACAAAGGTTAAAGGTAGAGAGATAGGTTAAAGGTAGAGAGATGCTTCCATATGTATATATAAGAGAGAGATCCATATTGTTGTAGAAAATCCCTCACATAGTAAATATCTTAAGGTCAATGCTTCAATTCATACATGTCATTGTTGGAGGTCATCTCATGTTATATATGGGGGCTAGGAGGACCACGATCCAACCATTTGGTGAACTATGTAAAGATGGTTCATGTCACCTTATAATTATCTCCTTATGAGCCTCCTATATACCCGCCATAGTCAATCAAGATAGAGAAAAGAACAAGAGCAAAAGCCCACAAATCCTACTCTTGTCTTCTGACTAAATTACATATTTTATCTTTTCTTACCTTTGTATTAGTTTTCTTAGGACTCCTGGACAGATATGGCGATGCATTAAAGAGTCCCACCTCCATCAAGAAAACATAAAATATAAAAATTAATTGAGAAAATAAAATATACTAATTATTATTAAAAGGCCAATTTGCATTGGAATATGAAGTAAGCTTTGGAAGGGATCAGAATTTTTTTGCCTCAATTGGGTAATTTTTGGAAGTAATTTAATGTGTGTCATCCACGGTAGTGAGTATCCTTGACAAAAACCATTAATTCTATTCTTGAATTATGCAAAAATTTAAAGCAAGCACAAAATTAAATATTGTTGGAAGTATGCATCTCTTGCCTTGGAAGGCTTGTAATCACATTTGTTTCTTACTTGCCATGGTGTTAAGAATAAGGCATCTTGGAATTTTGGAATTGACACATCACCTCTCTTTTTCTAAGCTTTTAAACCTTGCAACTCACAACTCACCTCACCTTTCTCTCACAATGTTATCAAGATCAAATCAGATGGCCTCTTTGGCCAATGAGATTGACCTAGTCTGGTTCAAAGTAAAATATAAATGGTAGAAATCAATCGAACTGATGTTTCACTAGTTTTAGCCCGTCGATTGGATATTTCTGATAGATTGGACTCGCATAACAAAATTGGATAGGTTTTTTTATATAATTTTATTTGAATTTTAACATGTTCATCATATTTTTTGTTTTTTAAATATGGTTCTACTAGTTTGACCAATAGCTAGATCAATCGCACCAGACCCCTAATCGGTCCATTGGCCAAAGTGGTTCAATGGTTGGTGGGGGTTCTGATAACATAAAAATCTCCCATTTTGTATTATTTTGAATCATTGATCACTGTTTTCAATTGACTGTAATACCTATTTTTTTTATTTTGATTGTTTAAGGTTGATGCCTAATGACACCCTTTCTTATGCGGGACATGAATTTAGTTAGTTTTGTGTAAGTTGGATGTGAATGGACCTTCGTACCTTCTATCACATGAAATGAATTTTCGACGTCGAGGAACCCTAACTTTTAAACTTAAGCTCATCAAAATCCGGATTTCAAATTATTCGATATTTCAAAATTTCAGCTCAATTTTTATTAAAAGTCCTCAAATTCAAGGGTGGCTATTCAATTCCATTTCAATAATTGACGGTTCAGTTTGACCTAAAGAGGCTTGCACAATTCTGACGGTAGGATCGAAACTTTAAGGCACGTCTTGTTCATGTGAAAATATTCACATAAAAAATTCTTTTATGTGATTAGATGTAGGAATATTTTCATACTTATTACCTGTCATTTGATATGAAAAAGTACATTGAGACCAATTTGATGTGAAAAATACCTCCACTCTTAATTACACAATGAAATTTTTTTAGGTAAAAATATTTTATAGCAAATATCTTTATACATACCAAACGTGATATTTATTGAAAAATACTTTCACACCTAATAACACGAGGAAGTTTTTTTTTCAATAAAAATATTTCCCAACAAATATTTTCACTCGTACCAAATGTGATATTCACTAAAAAAATATTAGCACACCTCATCACATGAGAATTTTTTATGTAAAAATATTATATTTTCACATTTACCAAACGTGGATGTTAATTTTGTCATCGAATAATAGAATTGTTAAACTCTAAACTGCTGGATGGAGGTCATTTTCGTCATTTCCACTAGAGCGGGTAATCCGTCGATTATCGTTAAGACTTTTGAGTTTTTCGGTCATTTTCACGAAAATGTCACCCCTCCTTTCGGTACATTCGTGTCTTTTACAAATTTCCATATATAATTTCCAAAATATATCACCACGGGGCATTAAACAATTCGTCAAAATCATCTTGCCGTCATTTTATACATCGTACAACCAGGGATTCCGACAGGGTAGCAGGAAACAATGTCGGTTCCCTTTCTGCCCTCAAATAACTAGAAATGACAAAATGATCCCTAACAAATCCCCATCTATGACGTCATCATCTACGTGGTCTTAAACAATCAACGAGCAAACTTTTTTACCTAAAATATCCATCACGTCCCTTGCTAGAATGCTTTCTAGGAAGTTTAGTCCAGCTTTTTCCTGAAATGGAGGCCGTGCGGTTTATTATTGCAATTTATTAGTTAGGGGTTACTTCTCATTCCTTAAATTGCGCCCGTGGGGCCACATTGTACTTTAAGTCCTGCAGACCCGATTAGGTTCAAATGGACCTGGATTGGGTAAATGTAAATTGGACCCGAACCTAACTTGGTACCAGATCGGATCCAAGTCATTTAGACCTACACCTAACCCGGACTAGAGCCAAGCCAATGCAAGCCTCATAATAAATCTAATTTTGAGATAGATTTTAAGACTTAATTTTGAAGGACATTTAATCTCTAACATGGAGATCATGAATATGAATAAATAAATAAATTTTAAAAACTAGAAATAATAATTCTAGTAAAAAAATATTTGGATCGTTAGTTTTCCTCATGAAATTATTTTAGTTTTCCTTATGAAATTATTTGAAAAACAAGCACAGATCCATTTTCTTTCGAAAATTGATGCCAGAGATGCACAATGGTAATCACTAAGCAGATTAGGTTGTGGTTTGTACAAATGCATCCTCTTAAATAATCGAGTAAGATGCATCCTCAGACTCCTCCCCAATATGTCATCTCTGGGTCGGAAACTTTATGGTAATCTTAAAATCTATTTCTATCCAAATAAGAGCTCTAAAATTGGTGCAAATCAAGCAAATCTACAAATAATTGAAAATAAGATGGTCTCAATAATATGTTATAAGGTGTATTATTTTTTAGATTTGAATTTTTTTTTTTTATATCTATATATGTCAAGGTGAAGAGGATCAATTGCATGATTTTTTTAACATGGAAACAAAATTTTCCGATGAATTTTTGAGGCGGGTGTTATTTCTTTTGCACAAAGTTGACATCCTATGTAAACGTAGACCAATCAATATCTCTAATACGGCCGTGAGACAAGATCCCCATTTTTTTTTATATCTTGGACCAGTTTTCAATGATTTTTATACAAATGTGAAACTTGTTATTTAAAACAAATAAATGGGTAGATTCGTCATTGTATCCTGCATAAATAAAGCACCTGAGCAGTCCTTTTTCCTGAACTCACGTAAGTCTTGCGTGCGGTACCGGAAAATTTATTCCCGGCGAAATTTCGGTCGAGATAGGGGGTTGATTTCAGCGTCTTGCATTTGTTTCAAGACTTACCGTCTCTGTTTTAAGCTCTGCAAGTGAAAAATTTCGGGAACATGTGAAATTTCGGCGTTTATAGGTCTCTCTGCTAGCTCCGGTTCCTGCCTCCATGGCGTTCGACTGAATTCAAGTGTTGTTCATTCCCATGAACCTCAGAAAACGTGAAGCTTTGAAACTCTCATGAGTTCTCGAGCTGACGGAAAATCCGTTGAAGTTTGCAGGATTTCTAATAAATTAGTGATTCCGGCGAAATCTGGAGGTTTTTTGGGCGAAAATCGAAGTTCTGGTGAAATTTTCAGAGTTAATGAAGCTTTTTCCATTGCTTCAATGGAAATTCAGTGAATTCCAAAGAAAAAGCTAACTCTTCAAACCTATCAGCCAAGGCCTATCAATTCGAAGTTGCAGAGATCATTTCAAAGTCGAAGAGACCAATTCCCACTTCACAGAGGACAGAGATCATTTTAAACTCCTATCTGTGCTTTCCCGGCAACGCTATAAATTCCGGTCATTTCCCTTCGCTTCCATTTCTGGCCAAAAATATCAGTCACCTTCATTCTCAAAAGCATTTCTCTGATGCATCAATGGCGACTCTCTATCTCCCTCCTCTTCTGTTTCCTCCATGCCATGGCTCAATCAAGCCTTCAAGAACCAGGTCAAGAGTCTCAAGACCCGACCGGAAATGTAGCCATGGCCTTCAAGCCAAGCATCGCAGTCATAATCGGCGTTTTAGCCATCATGTTTTCCCTAACCTTCCTCCTCCTAATGTACGCCAAGTTTTGCCAGGCCAACAATGGCGTCGAGCTCTTCAATCCGATTGACCAGACCGCTGTTCTCGGTCAAACCAGAGCTCGATTCTCAGGAATCGACAAGACACTGATTGAATCCCTTCCATTTTTCAGGTTTTCTACTCTGAAAGGGGCCAAACAGGGTTTAGAATGCGCCGTTTGTCTCTCTAAATTCGAAGATCCAGAGATTTTGAGGTTTCTACCGAAGTGTAAGCACGCATTTCACATCGATTGTGTCGATCGATGGCTCGAAAGCCATTCGAGCTGTCCATTGTGCAGGCACAAAGTGCAAGCAGAGGACCTTAGGGTCTTCACTTACTCGAATAGCTTGAGATTATCGAGAAACCAGTCGGAATTGACAGATGAGATCTTTGTTCGAAGAGAACCGGAGGCGAACAACTGCGGATCTTCTTCGAGGTTCAGCATTGGAGGAAGTTTCAGGAAAAACAGCATTGGAGGAAGTTCCAAGAAAAAACCGAGACAGATAGAGAAAGAGAAAGAGAAAGAGTCATTGCTTCTTCCTTCAGCTTCATCTGAGCTTGAAAATGGAAATGATTCGAATAATTCGAATTTGCTCAGCAAAATTTCAACTGATTCGGAATCATTTCATAAATTTAAGCATAAGATTATAGTCTCCGATTTCGTATCGAGGCACAGATGGAGCGATGTGAACGCTTCTGATCTTCTCTTTCTCAACTCTGAGCTTTTGGCTTCAGTGTCGAGTAAGCGGTTCGGCTCGGTTCTGGATTTTGGTTCGGTTTCAAGTAGAAGGTTCAAGGCAGATGCCGACTTAGGTTCGGTTCCGAGTACAAGGTTCGGGATGGGCTCAGACAGGGGGTTCAGGACACGAGATTCATCCGATGTTGATGTGGTCCAGCGTGGTGGATCCAACGGCGAGATCTTAAGGATTCGAGAGGAGATGGAGAGGAAGAGGATTTTAGAGATCAAGGCTGAGAGGGTAAGGAGGAGCCTCTCAGGTTCGGGTCTTGCTTTGAATGTGGGCTTAGGTGATGGTAACGAGTCGAGGCTTATTGTGGACTCGGGTAAGAGGTCCATGTCCGAAATTACGAATTTTTCGAGAGTGCAAAATATGAGAGGGGTCAATTTTGGTAATAGTGAATTCGGGGAGGGCAATTTGGGGAATAGGAAGGAGGAGAGGGTGAGGAGGCTATGGATTCCCATAGCGAGGAGGACGGTGCAGTGGCTTGTGGGCAGAGAAAGAAGGCCTCAAATGACCAAACAGGACTCCATTGTGTAGAGAGAGATATTACTATGAAAATAATTCCACAAAAATAATTCCTAAAGTTTTTGTGCTCTAATTTTTGTACAAATGATTATAAATAGTTCCTAAAGTTTTTGTGCTCTAATTTTTGTACAAATGATTATAAATAGTTGAGATAAGGCTCTGATGATGATTCGACGTACCCTCTTGAACTAGTCATACCCATGGTTTAAAAAACGGATCGGTGACTTTGATCGGGCTTTCAAAAAACCGATCCGGATCTGCGAATCGGCGATCCGGATCAAGAATCGGGTGAATCGGTCATAATAAAGCTTAAAAAAATCCCAAAAAATTATTAAAATTAATAA